AGGCTGGTCTTGAATTCCTGACCTCAAGTGATCCTCCCACCTCGGCCTCCCAGAGTGCTAGGATTGCAGGCATGAGCCACCGTGCCCAGCCAAGAGTGAGTGGTAAACATTTTTAAGCTAAAGTACAAAGGGTAATTTGGGCTTTCTAGCCACATGTTTCTTAGTTTAAAAAAATAAAACAAAACCAAAAACAACAAATAGCAGAATTCTAAGTTTAAATGACAATTCATTTCTAATGCATAAGTGTTAGAATTAGGGTTCGATTACCTGGATTTCCTCGATGCTATGGACAATAAACATGTCTTGCAGATCCTCCATCGCACCCTCCATCCAATTGTTGAAAGGAGCTGCTCTCTTAGCAAATTCCAGGTGAAGCTGATCGATGGTTTCTAGCAATTTCTCAGTTCTCTGAAGATTATTTAAATGGAAGCAAGCATTATCACAGGCCAATAAAAAAAATTCACTTAAAATATAAGTATGCATTCCACAACAATAAACTATCATCTGACACTTTGTTCATCACATTAGCATGTGTCTCCAAAGATTACCCTATACTCGAATGACTAGGCTGAGCCCTGCAGGTCTCTGTGGTGCCTTCTGAATGAAAGAAGGATTTAATAACAGCCAGAGTAGGCTTGTTTTTAAACTACCTAAAGTACTTTACTACATGCTACTTTTATGAAAGCTGAGAACCCACATATGGCATATTATAACTTGCTTTCGGCTAAAGCCCCCCTCGTAAGTTAGAGGACCCAATAATCTAACCATGCCAGATGACAGAAAATTCAGGGCATCTTCCACATGTTGTAGTTAACAGTGTGCAGAGAAGTTGTGTGCCTTTCCCAAAGTCACCTACCTAAGTGAAGACAGAAAGAACTACAGTTTAATGTTCTCAAATCCTCATTCAGGATTTAGCACAGAGATCATGTCTTGCCTTTCTGGCCACAGGAAAGCACAAGGTTTCAAGCAACAGAGAATGAACCTGTGCTTGTTTCCTATGGCAGAGATGGTGGAGAGCGGATGGGGAAAGCATTCCCTATCTGTGAGTCTCCCATAATGAGATTCATCTTTCTCTCCTGTTCTAAAATGTTTTGCACTCTCTCTGTTACATGCCTGTCCTTCCTCCCTCTCAACATTTCTTTCTTTAGGCAGATCTGTAATAGCCATTTGGCATCTGGGAAGCTTGATATCACGTATTTTAAAAGTTTCATCAGAGTCAGGGTGAAAAGACTCAGGAAACATAAATCACTTCTTTCCCTCGCACTGGCGGAGTCTTCCTTGGATGGAAACGACTAGGTACAGTTAAACACCAGCTACCCACTGCTATTCATCAAGTCTTATACTTAGATAAGGCCACATTCATCCCGATTCTGTTCCACATCAACTTTTCCTCATTTTAACATTTGTTGTCATGTTCCCTTTGGCACATCTCAGTTAGGTTCTTCCTGATTTCCTGACGCCGTCACAGCTCAATTTACTCACACAGAAGGACTTTTGGAAATTCCTGTAAGTACTGCTTGATACAAAGTGGGTTTATACCTTAATCTCGCACCCCTGGATTTTTCAAAATTCAAAAGTATATTTCACTGTTGTATGGATAAACTATAGCACAAAACTACCACCTTTCCATTTCCTTCTTTCTCTTGCATTTCATATTTTCTTTTTTTTTTTTTTCTGCCCAATATGATCTGTAGGAATCACATTTTCTAAAGAGGTTCCTTTCACTAGACAATCTGTTTAACACCACAGAAAAACAGAAAGCTAACGCCAGGGACTTAATTAAAGATTTCATGTCAACAGGTGGCTTCAAGACTTCACCTCCAGGGCTTCTCTTCTCTTCTGCGTAAGCGTTCCCAATCTGTCCCACTGGTCACAAATTTTCTGGCACCGATCATTGACATTCACAGCATCATGATAGTCCAGTTCACTATTAAAAGCGAAAATAAAGAGAGATTAACTTTCCCAGATGATATGAAGGAA